GGTTCTCAGCAGACACGGGTGGAGCAAGATAATGCGGCTGCTAGCTTTGTGCTATCCGAGATCGATCAGTTGGTGGACAGGGGTGGTGGATCAGTCCGCGAGAACCCATACAACAGCCTCCATTGGTGGACACCGGATGAGGTAGCGATGTGGGAGAGCGGTCGCTGGTCCGATCAGCGGTACTCAGCCTGCTGCTTTGGTGGCGCCAGATCGAAGCTGCAGCGGCTGCGCCACAACATTGCAGAGATCGCTCAATGGCCTCGAGCTGACTGCAACCATTTTCATGATCCCCAGGAATGGGAACCTTGGGTGCAGGATGGTAAGCGCCATTTTCCTTCAGCTGAGGAGTCCGAGTATACAGCAGAGCTCTGTTTTGCAATTGCCACGGCAGCTTCGTGGTGGGCAGTGCGTGTTGGACACGCCAAGCTCTATGTGCCGAGGTCCCCATCGCCGAGTTGTACCGGGCATCGGGACCATTGGCTTGACCTCGATCCCAGAGCACTTCGTGAGTGGGCTATGACCCCACTGGCCATTAGCCTGGGTTTGAGGCCTTTGGATACAGCTGAAGCGGCTAGGGTGCCTACGCGAGCATGTGTTGAAGATGCTTTGCAACAGGGTGCACTTCCCCCCGGTCATGTGTATGTGGGGCTTGGAAGTCATACCCACCGCCTACCGACCACCAAGTGGAAGTCTCCATGGCAGGTGGGCGTGAATTGCACCCCTCAAGACTGGGTTCCCTACTACGTCCAGTACATCAGGGAGACACTCTGGTGCGAGTTGGATGAGCTCGAGGGATCAGTGCTGGTCTGTGATTGCCCTGCAGCCCAAACTTGTGAGGCCGACCTCCTAGCCGGGTTGATTTTTGACCGCTTGAGTGAGCAAGGCCAGCGGAGTGCCCCACAGGTAGTCCAAGGTCATTCTGGCAGGAGTCACCAGGGAGTTACCCGACGTGTCCTCCTGTCAAGTGTAGCGCAGGCTACAGGCATCCCCTTTGGGCCATTTTACATTCTGCAGGAGTCCTTGGCGTTAGCGTTCAAGAAGCTGTACCCGGGCGAGTGGTTCGAGGGAGTTGCCATCCCCTTTGTAGAGGACTTAGTTAACCAGCACCCACTTGACCTGTTTGTGCGATGGCGCCACCAACAAGGGCTGGACATGGAGGGCAGCTGTAACCCAGTGTTGGCAGCCCCTTCAGTGCGGCAGAAGATGAGGACGGCAGAAGGTCAGCAGGTGGGAGCGATCAACCACAGAGCGGCGCTGGCCCCTCTTCTGCCCTTTCACCTTCAGCCAGACCAGCATTTCGAGCAAGCCCTTCAGCTTAGCATGCAACCGTTGCCTACTGAGGGGCTTCCTATTTTGGACGAGGACCTGAGGTTTGCTGCATCTTTCTCTAGCCTGCCAGGAGTTGACCTGCGCAGGTTGCGAGAGCGCGCCACGGGCATCTTATCTGAGCTGAAGAGACGGTGGAGCTCGATCACGGCCCATTTGAGACGCAAACAGACCGAGGCCATCAGGACGGCAACAATGCAGCGTGACATCGGCTTCACTGCAATTCTCCTTCTTGTAGCCAATTGGGGTGACGTGACACTGCCAGCAGGCCTGTGTATGGGGCTTCCAGCAGTGGGGTACGCGCCGCCATATGGCATTTTTCCGGAACAAGTTGCCACCCGTTTGACAAGAGAGGAGGTACTCCAGGACTGGCAGAGCCACAACAACACCATTTTGGCTCGGCTCAAGCCAGGTGCAGATGATGAGTTTTTGTTGCAGCAAAGCCTTAAAGATGCCGAGAAGGGTTTTTGTGGATTGCCCATGACTGCAGAGGAACTGCAGCGTTGTCTGGGTGCGGAACCCTACCGGTTGATCCCTCGATGCGTCATCACACAATCCTCGGGGAAGCAACGAGTGATTGACGACGCCTACGTTGGTTTGCAATCTGAGCGTTCCAGTGATGCGAACAAGCTCACCCTTTGCTCAGCGTTGCGGCCGGCCCAACACCTGCAGTATGCCTACTCCTTTGGGAAGTCACCCAACTGGGAGGCAGAAGAATGGGAGTCTGGAGGTGAGGATTGGCCGGATGCCTATCGTTTTTGCCCTATGAGTTGGGATGAGGCGTTGTGCTGCATTGTGGCTTTCTTCCATCATGAATGGCAACAACCAGCGTTTATGATTTACACAGGTTTGCTATTTGGTCTTCCTCTTGCGGTCACATCTTTCAATCGATACAGTCGTTTTGTGGAGGCTTTATCACGTCGATTTGCCTTTTGTTTGACCAGTCTGTATTTCGATGATGCTCATTTGACAGACCGCAAATCGTGCCGAGGGTCAGGTCAGAGAGCTTTGCAGACCCTCAACACCCTTTTGGGTACACCATTTTCCGAGGAGAAATGTCAGAAGATGCAGAGTACCGGCACCTTCCTGGGCCTGGATCATGACTTCAGTCAAGTCCATTTGAAGGGTCTGGTTCAGTTTTGGGCCCGTGAACGCATCGAGACCAAGCTGCTTCATCTCATGCAAACTGCCGAGGAATCCGGCAAGTTGCAACCAGGGGTGGCAGCCAAGCTCTACGGTATCGCCAACTTCTTTGAGCTTGGCGTGTGGGGGCGTATTGGCTGCGGTGGCTTGGCCCCAATCAAGCGCAGACAGCAGGAGCGCTCCGCAGAGTTAACTGAGGAGTTGCGCCAGAGCTTTGACCTGCTACGTACTGTCATCACCACCCGTCCCTCTCGCCACATTGAGATCTGGCCACATGCAGGGCTCCGCTTCCTTGCTGTGTCGGATGCTGCATTGGAGAGCCCAGGTCAGGGGACTGGGGGCTTTTTGGTGATATGGCATGACCATCACCGGCAACACAGAGAGGCATTTGTTTCTCTCATTCCCCCATTGGTGTACAGCCTATGGGAGCCTGGTGACAAGAAGATTGCCCAATTAGAGCTGCTGCAAGTGCTCTATGCTTTGTTTTCTCGGCCGTCCAGATTTCGAGGCAGACGAGGGCTCTGGTTCATCGACAACACGGCAGCGTTGATGGCATTGATCCGAGGTCGTTCTGACAATGCAGATTTAAGAGCATATGTCACGGTTGATTCATATTACTCTTTTTGGGCTTAAGGCTTGGTTTTTCTGGGAGTGGATCCCTAGCAAGGCCAACTGGTCTGATGAGATCAGCCGTGAAGGCCTCCAGGCAACATGGCACAAAAGCCATGGGTTCACCACGCATTTTGCATTTTTCCCCTTCGAGATCTGGTCTCTACCACTTCCCGCGTTTCTCCGGGTTGTGGAGTTTCTCTGAGTGCTTTGGGATGAAGTGCATTGGGAGAGATTCAACCTGTGTAGCCTCCTGAGTTTACAGGAGTGCGGAACAGGGTGTACGGATCCAACCAGTGCTGCTGTGCAGGAGACTACCTGCACAGCGTTCCAAAGCACTATCCTGCGAGGAGCAGGTTGAGACCGCACGAAGAGTTTGGGAAGAAAAAGCCATGCGGATGTGAGCCTGGATAGAGTGAACCTTTTTGAGTATCTATGCTTTACATCTCACAACTAATGTATGTATGCATCGTGTTTGGCAGGCACTGGGTGTGCATTATCATTAGGGTGAGTATGTAAGCTGATGAATCCATTTTGGCTCAAGTCTGAGCCAAACTGGCTTCATCGTTCTTTCTTTTCCCTCCCTTCCCTCCCTATGAGGTAGGACTCCGGTGGAGTATCCTCCCTTGTAGGGGATCACATCATTGAGGATGCTGATCTCTACGTGGAGTCCCACGACTGTAGCACTGGGCGGGAGAGATTCAACCTGTGTAGCCTCCTGAGTTTACAGGAGTGCGGAACAGGGTGTACGGATCCAACCAGTGCTGCTGTGCAGGAGACTACCTGCACAGCGTTCCAAAGCACTATCCTGCGAGGAGCAGGTTGAGACCGCACGAAGAGTTTGGGAAGAAAAAGCCATGCGGATGTGAGCCTGGATAGAGTGAACCTTTTTGAGTATCTATGCTTTACATCTCACAACTAATGTATATATATATATATATATATTCATAATTGGTATAGGCAACTGGCCCCAATGTTTTCTTGAAATTAATCCCTTCCAGCGAATATCTAACACCCCAAAACCACTGGTTTTTGCATTCAGTGAATGTTCATTTTAGAGGCCCAACATTGGGTGAAATCAGAGGAGTGGGGGACCAGGGATGGTGCAGATCAATATACATATAGATATTATATATATGATATTAAATAATATTACTATATGATATATAATAAGATAGTTCCATTATAGACATTAAAACATATATCGTCATCCTGGAGTAGTGGAATATAGAATTTTCATGATGTTTCAACAAGACAGCACTAATCGTCCCTGTGCCGTTTCTGGCCATGGTCCATTGATGGTTTGAGTGGTGGAAACCTGACTGGTTGAAATCTTCTCCATGGAAAAAAAAAGGTACGGTTGGCACCAATCAAATCAGGCCGAATTTGCATTGGGAATATATGATTCAGCACGCAATGGAAAAGTCGATGCGCCATGAAGCCATTAGTAGGAGAAAACATGAGCAGTAATCAAGCAAAATACTGTGTTACATGCGGTTGGACTTCCAATAGATTGTTGCGATCCATGGATTGTCAAGATCGACTATTGCTATGATATCTATGATCCATTAGCCTCCCACGGCCAAAATCTAGCATGGATGTAGAGAACGGACCATGTGGAGAACCATGATTAGAGTTTACTAGAGGATCCATTGAAAATTCCATGCCGCAGTGCCTTTGTTTTTCAGACCAGAAGGATGTATCATTCTGGGCTTTGAGTGGTAAACTGAGGTTCTGTGATCATATCCATGGTAAACTCAACAATGAACCATCCCCAAGTCATCAGCATTGGTTGCTATCAACCATTCGTGAATGGTAGGTGTGTGGCATTGGATTGCCCACTTTAATTCTGGGAATGTGTTTGAAATCCAAAAAATCCCAGCACAGTCCGGACATAGCTCTGCCAATGCACTGCCAGTGTCAGGAGGCTCTGGTGAGATGTCAACAGCTTCTCTCGCGCTTACCTCCCATGGAAGGCGGGATTCATATCAAAACGAGCAGCCAGTTAGCCGTGACTCCAAGGTTATCTATCACTCACTGATATCTGCTAGATCCAAAGAGAAGAGTTGTCAGTTTCCAGGGAAGATCTTCACCTCATTCCAACGATCTCGTAGCGAGGCAGTGTGAGATACGATCGCTCCTGGGGAATCGAAGAGTCACTGGAGCAATTCCAGTGCCTTGTGCGACAGTCACTTGGTCTCCGGAGTTGCAGTTATCATCTGAAGGATCCAGAAATGTCCTGTAATGCTGACACCCTGAAGTCATATATCCCAAATATTCCCAAATACTTTCTGTTAAAAGGATTGAAAGGTACAAATGTTCACAAATTTTACAATCAAAAGGATCCGTAGTGAGATGATACAACGAAAGTGGCCTGGCTTCCGTAAAAATGCTCCTGGCAGCTGATGGATTGGTCCATGGTTTTCCTCTGCGAATCGTGTTCCATCCCGAAGATCTCGGATCATGGGACCTCAGAGACTCGAGGGATATAATATACAATAATATACATATGATATATGATATTTGATATATGATATATGATATATAATGTATATGTATATACATATATTTATATGTGATATATGATATATAATGTATATGTATATACATATATTTATATGTGATATATGATATATAATGTATATGGATATACATATATTTATATGTGATATATGATATATAATGTATATGGATATACATATATTTATATGTGATATATCATATATATTATATATCCATGATATATATCCCCATTATGTTGGAATTTCTATGACTTGTCTATGTGTCAAATTAAAAAAAAAAACGATCCCTGCCTTGAACATCCTTGAACAATGACAATGCTTTCGGAGCCACAGTGGGGTGGATGGTCGTGGAAGCTCCAGAAATTCCCTGAAAGCGCTCGAGGCATGAATTGCAATCTTCGGTGGGTCAGAGCCATGTGGCCGTGAGGAAGCTGCCTGGATTTGCTGATGATGTTGGCCTATTTGCCCAACGGGAAATCCACGAATTTTGGATAAAAAAAAGTAAACCATACCCCAAAATTACCAGAAATGGGTCGTATAAGCCATCATTATGATTGTTTTACTAACATTTAACATTACTTGAGGAATCTACAGGGATCTATAGGGAACATGGATGTTTTTTGAATTTTTGCGCGTGGGGTTCTTAACCAAATCCAAGGTTGCACAGGGACTTCTGCACGTTGAATGCGGTCACGAACTTAGACATCATAGGTACGGAGATCCCTCGTTGAAAAACAACTGGGAGATGTTCGACATACCCTTCGGCGCCCGCCCTTTCAAGCATCAAGTCTCAGGGAAATTTGGATGTAGACTTCTTGGTGGTTGCAAACAGTACTGTCAAACATGACCATTCCATTTTTCATGGGTGCCAGCTATTTCCACTGGCCAGATGGAAATGGCCCGACTTGCCAAAGCAGTGCCTTGGGCCGCAAGTTGTCGCTTCATGACCATCTCAGGTCACTGAGTATGCCAATGATATCGACGGTTTTTGGGTATGTATATCAATGTCGTCTTAATAATAGTCACAATGATGATAATGATAGTATAATATCTATCTATATAATATCTAATATATATATACACATATTGTATATGTCAATGATTATATATGTTTGATATGATTGTATATTTTTTTGTATCATAAGATTATTCCGTAATATACCATCATGTATACATGATGTTATTTCTGTGATATCTTCCGTCATGTCTTCTGCGTTGAGGCATTGGGTAGCACCGACAGCCAGCTGAAGGTAAAAGCCCTGGAACAGGCCACCGGAATTCGGAAATCCCTGACTCAGAAATGGCGATTGAAATGGGAAAATCATAGGAAAATATGGGGAAATCCACTATAAAAGGAGGGTATGTATATGTAATATGATAATCCCAAAGTAGATAGAATATGGAATTGTCAAACAATCCTCACTAAATCAGAAATCCCCATATTCTGCGATGTTCAGGTGAAGGTGGCCACTCAAAAGCTGCGAAATTCCATGACTTTGGCGGACATCAAAGAGCTGCAAAGCGCCGAGTGGCTAGGCCGAAAGATTTTTTGAAATCTCATGGAGTTGCGAGGAATTCCAGTGCTGTTTCCATGGAAATTACAGTTTTTGTGGACCTTAAATGATGGTATTAATATTCTGTTGAGATCTGTTGAGTACATACTGATAAGTATGATGCGTTTCCCATACTGTTGGGGTGTCTGAGGAGCAGTGGAGTACAGTAGTGCTATAGGAATGGGGCTACCATCAGCGCCTTGAAGCCACCAAGGAAAGTCCTTCAGATGGAAGAGGACTGAGTTCAGCACGTTGAAGGCAAAGGTTCAGCATGGGAATGCACAACGAGTACAGAAATGATTCGTCCCTTCATCTGAGATTTGAATATAATTATATACGTATCTATATATATATATAATACTATATAGAGACAAAAAATGATATAATATGATATAATCATATACATATACGCTGTATAATATATATATATATTAGATTTCCTCCAAATGGGCGTTTCCGTCGATACCAAACATCTGTGTTTTGTGAACGAAGCTTTTAATCGGTGGAAGGGATGAGAGATGTTTTTACAACGGGGTCGTTGGTTAGCGAAAGTCAGAGGAAGTTTTGGATTTCTGTGGATTTCTGAGAATGTGGTGAATGTTAAAATTGGAAATTTTCAATATGTTTGGTGAATCATTTGAGTGTTTTTCATGGATTATGTATGGATTAAATCATTAAACAATGATTAGATGGAAATGTTCACCAAACATTTCTGTTCATTCCATTGAGATCCTGTTTGGCGAATCGGAATTTGATGATCCCTCAATGGAAGAACATAAACGATTGCGGAATTACCAGAGTTTTATGAAAGCCCGTGGCTTTCACACATGTATTTGATATAGTATATTGTAACCAGAATACTATATATAGTACTATGAATATTATATATATATATGTATGTATAGTACCATGAATAGTGAATATGTATATATATATTAATTACTATGAATATATAGCACATGATTCAGACTGCAAAGCCAATCACCAGACATGTAGTAAATCCCCTGGGTTCATCCCAATGGAAGTCACGGCTCCAGGAGATCAGAAAGTGCAATGCTGAGCCCTGGCGAAGCTGGTGGGAAGTGCGAACATTCTCAGATGATGACTGGTTGGTGACGGTGGTTTCAAAATGTTTCAAACATGAATCTTTTTTTCCATAATAGATGGGATAATCCATGATAGTCCTTTCCCATTGACGAACTCCATGATTTTTCAAGATGGTTAAAACCACCAACCAGATGATATTTGGGACCATGATCATAGTCTACTTTCATATGGTTTCAGGCTTGAAACCACAAAAAGGACAGGATTTCTCCGAAAATTTGCTGGTTTTAGCCATGGACATCAATTACTCAGAGGATCTCAGTGGCTTAAAGTATGAAGATCTATAAAGTGAGATTGTTGCCAAAGACAGGGGGTGGTGAATTGCCTTTGTCCAGCTTGTATTTGACAACATAGATCTGTGTTTCAATATGTTTTTTTAAAGCAGAACTGGATGATGCGAAAATCTGGAAACCAGAAAACCCTATATTTGAGGACTTTCGAGGTGTTTTTAAACCATGGTTTATCAAGTCACGTGGTTTTTAACAACGGTCGATTTTCCCTTTTCCAGACCAATCGATGAGCTCTTCGTGAAAACTGTCAGGAAATGACGACTCTTCGTGAATCAATCGAAGACCTGATCAAGGGCGGTGGTCCACCCATTGCTGGTCCTGTGGGAAGCGGCAAAGCAGAGGTTGGAACCAACAGGACCACCGGGACCGGGACCCACATATAGCCCTGGAATTTTTGATGCATTCACTATGTGTATATGTATATGATTACATGATATTACATGTAGAATGCATGTAAGTAGTAGTAGTGACCAAAACACCAAAACTTGTGATGATGGGACTTGTACTACTGTTCATATAAGGGTTTTGATTGTCATAAAAATCATGAAAAGCACCAATGAACCAACAACAGCAGGACATGCCCAGAAGATCCCAGAAGGGCTTCCGCCACAACTCATATTGCAGCTGTTTTTTTGAAAAAAGGAATCGGAGCCTTGCAAAATAATAAACCTTGGAGCATCATTTGCAGGGGTATCCGTTCTGATCATCCATGGATAGTTGTATTGTTTTTCACGTTTGTGACGACATGCCGACGTGCCGTGCGCCTACGCAGGAAGTGGTTCTATTGCTGCTTGGCATCAGGAGTTCCCCCGACGTCCGGCCCTGTCTGGCGCCCCGCCGAGGTTCTGACTGTCACGTGGGTGGCCATGGAAGACGCTTTTGCAGATATCTCTTGAAGAGACCCAACTGGAGGACCAGAACTTGTTGAAATCTCGGATGTAATTGCCAAATCTGGGATATTACAGATATCCAAATATGATGATTTTGATATTCGGATATCCAACAAGACTAAGCTGGGATTAGTGTTGGTTTTAACAGCTTGCTGTGTTTGTAACAACCAATTGAGTGAGAGGGGAGTTGAGGGTGGGAGCTTCACCTCGGCCTTGATGGCCATTTTGGCTCAAGGCTGGGGTGTTTTCATTTCAATGGGCCCAGGGCTAGGTGGGGAAGGCAGCGACGCAGCACCTGGTCCCTTCGGTCAACCGACCGAGGATCCGGGTGTGGACCTCCTCCTGTGGGTGCTGGTTAGCACTTACGGGCTGGGGGTCCTGTGTGGCTGGTTCCTCCATGCCTTTTGGGTCCGGTTTGGGATCGGAAACACCCGAGCCGCAACCTCTCGCGTTGTGGGCCCTTGGGAAGTTCTTACATCCCGGGCTTTGCGCTTTGTGCGCCGTCGACGAGCGATCAGCTTGGCATTCTCCAACCTCAGGGAAAGCTCCTTGCGCCAATCGGTGCAGAGCCGACCCAATCTGAGGAGGAGAGCCACATTGGCTGGTTCCGCAACACCAAGGAGCTCTACAAGTTCGGAACTTACTCCTTTGAGGGAGGGTCTAGCCTTGCAACATGGACCCAACCGAAGAGGAGCTCAACAACATGGAGACCATTGACGACGTGGCAGACTGGGCCGGTCTTGAGGGCCCTTTGAAAGAGGGTCTCCTCAAAGATCTCGGCACCCCGACGAAACTCAGGGACATTGCATTCATCACACGCCCGGTGTGGGACGCAGCACTTGTCCTCCTGAGGGTGGCGACAGCACCAGCCAACCCAGGCGACCCACCAGGTCAACGTGAGCCCACACCAGTGGAGGGCTCGAGGCTGGAAATCTTTCGACGGGTGGTGATGCTCCGGATGCAGATGACGCCCGACACACCGGGGGATCCGGGTATACAACCCCCTGGGGTTGCTACAACTCCGGCACAGCCCCCGTCCAGTTCACAAGGTTCCCCAACGAGGAAGATCAAACTGTCAGTGGTCATTGACCCAACTCTGGACTCAGAGGTGGTCCAGTTGGAACAGACCGCTGTCAGTGCAATGTACGCCAAGTACAAAAGCAGGTTCGGTGATCACCCATCGCCGGAGGTTGAGCCGAGCATCGACCAATTGTCGGCTTTGGCACAACTGTTGAAGGCGAACGCTACGCCATACGCGGACATGTCACTGTGGGGTCCACACGGGCTCAGAACGTTGCGTAAAGCGGTGTTCAAGAGCTACGTGTTGAACGCGGCATCGGGGGAATGGAGCAAGAAAGAAGCCCCTGGCCCAGAGAGCATCGTCGCCTGGGAAAAGTGTTTCAAAACATACAAGGTGGCGATGGTGCTCTTGGAGGCGGCGGACCCCGAGAGGCTCGAGGCCTACATGGAACACGTCAAGGAGTTCCATAACCGCTTCGGGCCAGCATGCTGGGGGATCATATACCGTGCAGACACCCGCATGCGGCCCGAGTACATGGAGAGAATCCGGCGGGCGCTGGACGACGACCCACGGCATGGGTATACACCCGCCAACCCTTGGGCTGCCATCTTCGCGGAAGCGGTCCGGGAGCAAGATTTCTGGACAAGGGAAGTGGTGACCCCAAGCACACTTCTCTTGGCCCGCAACAAGTCCATAGCCTGTGGGCTGAGCTCGGACTCCTCGATCGAGTCGGCCCCAGAGCGGCCATCGCCAAAGAGGAAGAAGTCCTCGAGCCCGAAGCTCAAGAAGAAGAAGGCAAAGAAGAAGTACACGGGGGAAGACAAGAGCAAGTGGGACGACAACAGCAAGGTCTTCTCCCTCAACCGCAAGGGCCTTCAGATTTGCATCAAGTTCAACAAGGGGCAGTGCGGCAATGGCAAGCCACAGTCAAGATGCCCCAACGGGCGCAGTCACCAATGCAACCTTTGCCTGGGTCCTCATCAGGCAAGCCAATGCAAGAAAGACTGACAGCGCCAAACAGTCGAGGGTGAGGCAGCACCTCCTACCCTTACCGGTGACACTGCATCAGGTGCAAAGCGCTCCAAGCGCAAGAAACAGCCTGAGTCGGATCCCAGCGCACCGCCCGAAAAGAAAGGGCGCAAAGAAGAAAGCCCCGAGGAGAGGGCTGCGGCATCCTCTTCAGGGGTGAAACTGGTTCCAAGAAACCAGAGACCGTCCAGGTCACCACTGCAAAGAAAGCGAAGGCCAGTGCAGGCCGCACCGCATCAGCAGGGGCCAAGCCAGCTGCCTAAGCCGCCAAGCTGGCACCCGTACCGGTACGGGGCGACAAACGTCCCGCCAGAGCAGTGGGACCACAGGCCCAGGGCACTGCTGCTGTTCAGCGGCAAGCCCAGGGAAGGCGACATCGCCAGCTATCTTGCCGCAGGAGGGTGGATAGTGGTGGTCGTCGACATTGTGGGCCCCACTACATGCGATGTTCTGGACTCCGAAAATTACAGGCTCATTCTGAAAGAAGTTCAGGATGGCATATTCGACTGCGTGGGTATTGCCACGCCTTGCGAGACGCTGTCACCCCTCAGGGAGAATCCCCCAGGCCCCAAAGCCATTGAGGGACCTGGCTCATCCTGAGGGTCTCGGCCGTAAGAAGCTCTCAAAGGCCGAGCAACAGCAGCTCGCTCAAGCAAATCAGATGTTCGAGCTGTCTGCGGAGGCGGTCAAGTATCAGCTCAGGGCTCATCGGTCGTTCTGGCTGGAGAATCCTGACCATGGATCCAAGCTTGACTTCTGGAAAACGAAGTGGGGCATCGGCATCGAGAAGCACGCACTGGTGCTCAAGGCGGCCTTCGACCAATGTATGTTCGATGCAGAGGTCACCAAACCGACCAAGCTTGCCCACTTCGACATGGACCTCACCGAGTTGAGAGGCATCAGGTGCACACATCAAAACCGCACCTGGACCAAGCCTGACGGCTCAGAGTACAAGGCCAAGCACGAAAGCCTTGTGCAGAGGTGGCGCACCAATGAGGGTGGCAACAAAGAAAGGGCGTCCAAGGCATTGGGAGCATACCCACCGAGGCTCTGCAAAATAATCGCAGAAGCCATGATGGGTGCAGACCAGCCTAGGGCCAAACGGCTCAGAGAAATGAAAGCTGAGGAGCTCCCCTGAAAGGGGGGCGCTGAAGGTCCTGCCGGGCCGCATCTGGAAGACGCAAGGCGGACAGACAAGGAACTGGAAAATGAGGCAGCGCTTGGGGGTATGAGAAACCCTCGTGCTGCAGCAGCCAAACTCCCCAGATCCTTGATTGCAGGCGAGGCCATAAATGAACTCCTCCTGAACGCAGCCACCCATCCAGAAGCAGTACGCATTACAAAGGCTCTTCTGGGGGGGCAGAAAACCGTGCCCCTCGACAAAGCGTTCGTCGAGAAACTCAGAGAGCTGGTGGTGGGCTTGCTGGCTCCGGCCGGCGTCCAACTACCTCAGAAGAGCACGAGGGCGTCAACGCCTATCTCGGCGGAAGTGCTTTGGGCCTGGGGTGAATTCACAGAGGACCCCGACGCCAAGCTGCTGGCCACCTGGCTGAGAGAAGGAGCCCCACTGGGCTATTCACAACCGATACCCCGCACAGGGGTATTTCCCAGGGTCATAGGACCACATTGGGAAGAGGAAGCGGCGAGTCAGCTGGCCAGGCAATACGAGGGATGGAAGAATCACCCATCAGCTGACGAATGGCAGGAAGACCTCGCCATACTAGTTGCAGAGGCCCAAGCAAAAGGTTTCATTTCCCTGTTCGACACCATGGAGGAGGCTACAACGTACCTCGGCCGTTGGCCGGTACTCAATAAGCTTGGCCTTATCGTGAAAGTGAAGGGTGACAAGAGAAAGGCCCGACTCATTTGGGACCTACGTGAATCAGGGGTAAACGGACTATGCTCTCAGGGCGAGAGAATCATACTGCCCAGGCTAACCGACGCAGCGGCAGATGCAGTCGCTATCCTCAGAGCCGGGGGCACACCAGTATTCTTCGCGATCGACATTGAGAACGCGTTCCACAATGTTCCGGCAGGGGAGGACAAAGCGTCCACAGCAGCTGCCATTGAAGTGAACGGCCAACAGAAAGTACTGGTGTATGACGTGCTCGTCTTCGGAGCAGTCTCGTCACCGACTCTCTGGGGGCGCTTCGCTTCGTGGCTGGGCAGAACGTTGGCGGCCGTCAACCCTGCAGTGGCATGCCAGATCTATGTCGACGACCCCATCATGGTCTTCGACTCCAGCGACCCGAAGGGGGACAAACAAATCACGGTCAGCATCCTCTGGGCGGCCGTGGCGGGTTTCCCGATTAAAATGGAGAAGACAGAGTCAGGTCATTCAGTGAAATGGATCGGCGCAGAAATGCGCATACTACAGGAGGACAGGGCGGTTTCCATAACCATTCCAGCCGACAAGGTCTCGGAGGTTGTGGAACGCATCACGAAAATTATGGCGAGACCGGTAGTGGGCAAGAAGCAATTGCAATCGCTAGCCGGTGCACTGTCATTCTTCGCAAGCGTCGTCCCATTGATGCGCCCGTTCCTGGGAGGCATCTGGGCGGTGTTGGCGACTGATGATGGCCCTTCCAGGGCCAGAAAGCTCGTTCACACCAAACGGATTGCCCACTCCATGGAATGGATCCTCGCGCTATTGGAAGAGTCGACTGTACCATTCACTCGAGTGGTGAGGTCAGTCAAACCTAACTCAGGTGCCATAATTATAACCGATGCCTCGACTTGGGGCATGGGCGGAGTGCTACTCATGGGAGGGGCGGCCATCGAGTATTTCAGCTGCCCCATTCCCTTTCAGTTCACAGTGAAGACAGGAGCCATTCCCGGAATACCAAAACACATGGCACTCTGGGAGGCTCTCTGCCTGCTCTTGGCGGCCCGCATCTGGTTAGTGCGGTTCCCCATTGGCTCAGTGGTCCGTGTAAAAGCGGACAACATATCGGCCCTTTACCTACTCGCGAAGGGTAAGGCCAAATCACCCGAACTGCAGGTGGTTGCCAGGGAAATAGCACTCGACCAGGCCAAGGAGAGATACGAGGTCACTATACTCCAGCACATCAACACCAAGCTCAACATTACAGCCGACCCGTTGAGCAGGCAACACGACCCAGTGCCGCCTCCTTTTCCTCAAGATCGCCTCGGGGAAGCCAAACGGATTCCCATCGAGGTAGGTCCCGACTTTTGGCAAATCCGTGAACTCGGACGCGGAAAAAGTGCGGCGGTTTACCTGAGGACGGGAAGGGGGGGAGGCTTTTGGGTGTGAATGTTTTATTAGGTGTAGGAGGGTTGTCCGATCGGTTAGTTTTTCCCCGCAGCATTTTAAGCATGAAAAGGTCCGTAGGGCCCACATACTGGCAAAGGCCAGCTACTGCTCACGACGAGCCCAAGAAGCCTAAAGGGTTCAGGCCCTTGGCGGAAGGGCCAGTCATTTCGTCTCGTGCCCCCGTTGCCGATGGTACCGACAACAAGGCGGGAAAATCCGAGGACCGCCAAGTTAAACCATATGGCAGGGGATCCTTGGAGCTAGCCGTTCAGGCAGCCAGCTCCGGACCCCGGGAGTGCATGGAGCACATTGCCAAGCGGGCCCGTGCGGCTAACTCCCATGGGCCAACATTGTCTATAGGGAGCGCACCTGGGAATCCGTAGCAAAGGCAGCCGGGTACGATCGCGCTTTTGATCTCGTCCCCGACCTGATATATTCTGTCATGGGGGCCCTGGACAAGGCAGGGTACAGGTCAGCCGAATTGTACCTTGAAGTCGCGAAGCAAAGGCACATCGAAAAAGGGCAACCCTGGACAGCACAGCTAGCGCTAGCGGCTAAAAGCGCCAAGCGTGCGTGCCAGCGGGGCAGAGGGCCAGCAAAGCAAGCTCAACCCTTGCCATTGGCCGATGTTTCCACTCTCACCGACATAAGCAATCCGCTCGCGCCAGGGGGCCCGGAATGGGCCGTCCGGTCAACGGTGCTTGCGTCTTGGTGGTTGTTGAGGGAAATTGAAGCCAGCAACACGCTGCTAGCGCATGTGCAAGTGGATCCTAGAGAAAAGCTAATAAAATGGAATCTGCCGTCCAGTAAAGCAGACTGGCGCGCGTTGGGCGCCACTCGCACCCACACATGCTCCTGCGCGGAGCAAGGAAGCCCAGCACTCTGTCCATACCATCTCATGGTGGAACAAGTGAAATGGGCCAAAGCAAAAAGGCATTCGTTCCTCTTCTGTACAGAAACCGGCGCTCAGACGACCAAGTCAGGCTGGGCCGGCACTTTTGAGGCGATCGCCCAAAAGCTGAAGCTGAAATTGGTCGGCCCCACGGGGCCACTCAGCCACTCAGCCAGGGCCACAGGAGCCGTACACATGGCTCGCACCCAAATCGAACTTTGGAGAATCCAATTGTTTGGTCGTTGGGGATCCGAAATATTTAAACAATATGTAAGAGACGCTCCCCTCGAACAGCTCCATGGATTGGCCCAAGAAGTTTCGCTCAAAGCATCCCTAGCATCAGCAAGGGCTGAGCTATCAGCCATTCTGGCGGCCACCAAAGAAGCCACGGCAGCCGCAACTGGCCTTGCCCACCAGCCGGTTGAAGCCTTGGCTGACTGCGAGGCGGCAGCAATCATCGAACCTCCGGCACCAGAACCACCGGAGAATGATGTACTTTTTGTTAGAAACCGCTCTTCGAGAGGCAAAGTACACCTGGCGGCACGCCACGGAAACACTTTGCCACATTACTTGTGGCGTACAAAGTGCTTTTGGCATTTTGCCCGTGGCCAAGCCGACTATGCCCTTCTCAAAGAAGAGCCTAACAGAGCAAAATGCTCCAAATGTTTCAAGCTCCCTTCAAATAACGAAAGCGACGGGAGCTCTTCTTCCTCTTCCCGGTCGCAGTCGTCAGAGTCGTAATGCGCTGCGCAGGTGGGACATGGTTGGCATTTGACTCATCTAGGAGTCAGTCTTTTACCAGTCCAGATTTTGAAGCCAAAGGCTATCCTAGCTGGACAGGTGAATCAAACGGCCAACCTGTTACAAAAGTCCTGCTCTGACATTTTGTTATGCCCTTGCTCTCACGTTGATGATGGTTGTTGGTTTTAACAGCTTGCTGTGTTTGTAACAACCAATTGAGTGAGAGGGGAGTTGAGGGTGGGAGCTTCACCTCGGCCTTGGTGGCCATTTTGGCTCAAGGCTGGGGTGTTTTCATTTCCCCGCCCGCCCACACCAGCTGGGTAGGGGAGTCAGTCTTTTACCAGTCCAGATTTTGAAGCCAAAGGCTATCCTAGCTGGACAGGTGAATCAAACGGCCAACCTGTTACAAAAGTCCTGCTCTGACGTTTTGTTATGCCCTTGCTCTCACGTTGATGATGGTTGTTATATTTGGACAATGGAAGATGTAAATCTTGAACTCCTACAGGGATGAGAGATGGCTATGCTTCACAGTTGAGGCGCATGGGAAGGGATGCAGCAGACAGGCCTCTGCTTACATGGAACAAAGTCAATTCATAGACACATTTATGATCTTTTGTGGCTATGGATGGCTATGGTAATTTTCTGAAGTGAAGTATTTCTCAGAATGAAGCTATGGCTATGTTTATTGCATGTCAAAAAACGATTTCAGAAGATCAAAGTAATCAATAGCTTGCTTCTCAATGAATGCAGCTCCTTTAAAGCTGCATGACTTGAATTCAACCTCTCGCTAGCTCTTCCTTCTTTGTGCACAGGGTCATTTCGAACTGTGCGTTTTGTGTGGCTCTTGCAATGACTTTGGGCGCACAGACATGCCGCTGACTTCCACCCTATGAAGTGCCAGCTGTGAGGATTTATCCCAGTGAAGAGTGGTTCCAAGATCGAAATGGTCAAGTGAGTCATTGCCCACTGGGAAAACAGGGAGTGGATTTCACAGACGAGACCTACTTCAGCCGGATTTGCATGCACATCAAAGGACGCAGCTAGTCGTTTTCATCAGCCAATTGTATCGTCCAAAGATCTGGATTTCGTGTAAAAAGAACTGTTGCTTTACATGTGTGCATAGCTTATATAATGAATGGATCATATGGCTTTGGGGCAGAATTGACTTTCCGTGAGCTGCAGATTGACTGGTCGCTTTTTCGTCGCTTTATGTCGCGTTGGTATCCCCAAATTTCAAACATCTGGGCGACCTGCAGCTTGTCAAGCCTTCCCTGAGGTACATGGCTTGAAGACAAGCGCAAACTCTATGAGTTTGTGCCGGATCTGATGCCATATACATATGTGATCCAGAACAGGCGGGATTCCGGCAGGGAACGATAGCCAATACTTCGGAATGAAAACCCATCAATAACCGTGATATCACCAAAAGATGATGATTGATGCAGTTTGAAGATTCTAATCTATAGATCTCCGTAAATATCCATAAATAATTGTCTAATCACAAATATGCATAAATATCCATAAAAAATCATGTTTGCCGGTGAAGAAAACATGGGAAAGAAATTACACACTTCGGAGCAGTGGAAGTTGCGAGGCTTTGCAACCTGGAGGTTGGCAAGGGTTTAAGTGCGTGATGTCTGATATCCGTTCAACCTGCCAAAATCAATGGAAATACCCTCTGGTAAACTAACATAACTATGGAAAATCACCATTCTTAATGGGAAAATCCACTATAAATGGCCATTTTCAATAGCTATGTTAGTTTACCAGAGGGTATGTGGTGAGGTGAGTGGAGGTCTTTCAGGCCAGAGGCCTGGCCAAGAATCCATGGCAGGAAATGGCTAGGAGATGTTCCTGAAAGTGTTCCTGCAGATGCCCCACCATGGCCCTGGTTCTTGAAAGAGACGGACCGAAATTGGGGAACCAGCCGCTTGGTCCGACCTCACTGGATGATTGGTCGATTGATGGCCGCTTGTACGTCACATCAGACGTCCTTTGTGTATCTTTATGTCCCATTTATTCCACTAGTATCCCTATATATAATATTATATATATAATCATATATGTATATATATATAATACATATATTATTATATACCGTCTATTCCCGCGGTATCTCAATCTTCCCAAGATATTTCCATAGGATCCCAATGGCTTGACGCTGAAGAGCGAGGTGTCCACTGCCTCTCCGGTCCAGATGAGTGCCTGGAGAACGCCAAAGACGATGCGACTTATGTGGTCCAAAAGCATATCCCTGACCCACTGCTGTACACAAATGGGGAGAAATGCCACATCAAGCTGCTCGGACAAGTTGATTTTGAATGATTTTGTGGATTTGAGAACTGGTAAAAATCATGATTTAGGCCGATTTGAGGCATACAACGTTGCTGTGAACTAGTAGAGTGCTACAGTACGCTGCTATAGGATTTCTGCGAAGGTCTACAACCAGTGCAAGTGGCTGTTCTGTTTTCCGCAAAATGACTGAGTGTTTCGGATCTGTGAGAAGTATATGATTTGCATGGTTTGAACTAGTGCCAATACAAAGTATCAGTACAGAATTATATAGAGTTAATATGGTATCAGATAAGTGAAGCATGGTCCTTTTTGCGTATACATATATATATACATTGGAATGGGCCATGGGATATGGTTACCACTTCAAAACCCACCACAGATGGACTGTTTTTTTGGAACGTCACATATCCTGTGGTTATTTTCCCAAGCTCTGTAGATCTTTTGATTGGTGGTGTTCCTATTCCAGAGATATGTGGTGTTTTTGTTTATGTGTTGTTATGGTTTAGTTTATTTTGTAAATATGAACACACCATATATGAAACCAGCATGTTTTTATTGTTTAGAGCTGTTTTATATGAAAACACAAGAAACCAGCTGATTTCTATGTTCTTATGATTTAGATGTTTTGATTTTCTTCAATAAAAGTTTAGAATTCTATACTTGCATTTTACGGACATTCAAAAGTCACCACCACCACTATCACAACCACCATTGTTTATCACAACCACCATTATTACCACCACCACTATCACAACGATCACAACCACAACCACAACCACAACCACTATCACCACCACTACCACCACTACTATCACAACCACCACTACCACTTTCACAACCACCACTACCACTTTCACAACCACCACTACCACTTTCACAACCACCACTAACACTTTCACAACCACCACTATCACAACTACCACTACCACTACCACCACCGCCGCCGCCGCCACCACTACCACTTTCACAACCACCACTACCACTCTCACAACCACCACTATCACCACTATCACTCTGACCCACCATCACCATCAGATGAGTTGAGTTGAGTTGAGATGAGCTGGCATGAGATGAGCTGAGATGAAGTGAGAGTCAGCTGGGATGAGTTGGTATTCGCCTTTTGAAGGAAGTCCCGCACGAAAGCATCGTTTTCACACGATACATAAAATAATAACGACACATGAGAGAGATGCGAACAAATAATTAAAGAAAAGAAAAGATGATGAGAGATGAGATGAGTTGAAAAAAGAAGAGATGAGAAAGGATTAGATATCAGATGAGATGCCCCGGGTGGAATCACTTCGAACAGATGAGCTGAAATCAGATGAGATGAGACGAGCTGACAGAAGGGGGAATGGCAGTGGAATGCGATGAGAAGAGTTTGAAGATGTTGCACAGTGAGATGAGATGAGATGAGATGAGCCCAATCATTATATATTATCATGGGATACATATATATATATATACACCATATAATGATCCATATAATGATATATAGTATCCCAATCATTATATATTATCATGCACAGTAATGAAAACTCGAGAGATTGAAGATCTGCGAACCACAAAGTTCCGCTTGGCCTCATCCTATAGGCGTTTCAATCTTTGTTCCGCTCTATAGGCGTTTCATGGCGTTTCAATTTTGAAATTTCCGCCCCCGGCTTGCCCGGGTACTACTTGTATGAACACAACATTTGTTTGTTAATATGTATATTAATATATATATATAGATGAAACCAACAGATGTTTACGGTTAAGATTTTGTGATATGAAAACAATATAATAATTTTGAAACCAACATACTTTCTCTGGATCCATATTTTTCGAGCATCCAAGAATTCCACGGCGCCCCCTTGCAGGAGTGACTTAAGTTTACCCCCAAAAAGTTAACCACATTTTCAATGGATTGTTTTAAAGTAACATTTGCAGAAAACCCAATATTTCATGGTAAAATCCATGGTTTCCGGTTTCGATTTTCCCTTTCACCAATCCATCAGTTTTCCCGAAAAAAATGACAGCAGGTTCCCCCATTTTTTCCAGGTTCTACAACCTGCTTGTGGGTTTGGATGATGGTGTGACTTGGCGCCTCTACACCTATCGAGATGGTTACCTCAGCATCAGCCCCAAAGCTTGGAGTCCGGACGATCTGCCAGGGCACCCAGGGGACCCAGGGGCGGCTCCATTGAGGGCCGGTTGGCCGGTTGGGAATCAGGGATTCAATCAGGCTGAACTGGGAGGAAATCCCGTAAAAAGGCATGAATTGGGGTAAGTTCATGAAAATGAGCAATTTTTCTAAGACATAAATTGGGGTTGAATCCATTATCAGTGATATACTTGAAGACTGGAGCAAAAAGAAGCGAACATGATCAGGGATGGACCCAGGTCATGACGCGGTCTTAGGTCAAAGGAATGCCAAGTGACCATCATTCGGACCAAGAGAATCAATGACTGGCCCTACTGGGAAAAGGTCTATGGAAAATGTCAGGCTCGGGCCGGGCTGACTTCCAGTAACGGGTCAATTTTTGTTTCATCTCCATGACTAAATCACAGTGGTTCGGAATGTTCGGTACATATATATATATTGTATATATGTATACATATTCATTTACATGCACACGATATTTATAGGATTTGATAGGTAGATAGAACAACGGCAGGATTTGGGGATTTTCTCATTAGCTCTGCCATGGCTATCCTGAAAAGGAAGGAGCTGGAACTTCTGTGGATATTTTGCAACTTGTTGATGGATCCCTCTGCACCAAAGATTAGGTTTGCAGCAGTACACGACACATGAAAGGCTTCGTTTTGATTCATTTTCTCGTTTGCAGTCTTCTTAAGAAGATAGAAGCCTTGCAATCCAGAGTGAGTTTAAGTCTTGCTCAGCCACCTTTCCTCAGGCAGGTGTAGCCACTGTCATCAAGCGGGCTGCAGAACAAGGAAAGTTGGAAGGTCGAAACAAGATACAGCGCTTCGGCTGCATCTTTTCCAGCTTCACATGGATCTCGGTGGTATTCTCTCAGTATGTGGCATGTGAGTTAGATGAACTCCAGTGTTGTGGCTGAAGGGGAACACTGATTTCCTCATGAACGGAACAGGTTCGAAATCATCAGCGCGGACTACATTGTGACCACCAATGAAGATGTGTATTTGCTTGAGTTCAATACTGGACCGGCATGGATTTGGTCGTTTAACACGTTGGTGCTTGATTGTCCACGTTTCTGGCTTGCAGGGAAAGGATTAAATAGAGATAAATATAGTACCTAAAGGTAGACTGAGGCGGCATTGGCCAAACCTTGCATACTTACACTAAGAGACTGTATTTTGAAAACATCCTTTTTTTACAGTACATCTTCACGACGGATGGCCTCCTAAAAATTCCTTGGAAATCATGTGCTCGATCCAAGAATTGTGATGGTTAGTCCGAGTGGTTCTCTGCCCCGAATTCTGGGAATAAAACAATTTTGATGTTCCTGCTCCAGCAATCAGAAAACATATGGGTTATATTCAGTTCGAGCAAGCATGAACGTAGAAACTGAGGTGAAGCAAGTTTTCTTAATGCTCCAATTTTTTCAGTCTCACAGACCGACACGCAGGACCTGTTCTGAAGGATGCGGAAGACTCTCCAGATGTTCATGATGCGGGGTCTCTTGGTTGATATTTTTTATATGAGCAGCGAACACATTGTCACCTTTCTAGGGGCAAACAATTGCCCATCCAGGATGGTGGACGGAGCCTTACACATTGTCGAGCCATGGGAAGGGGGATCCCCTGAGCTCTGGGATCTGGCATTGGAGTGTAAGGCGCGGCACAAAAACTTTCTGGCAGTGAAATGATCAGGCAGTGAACACCTGGTGTTGCAGTGTTTTGCTGTGTTTTTGTTCCCAAAACATCTGGTTGGTGGTTTGGAACATCTTTTATATTTTTCCATAGGGATATATTATTACTAATATTTTTCAGACATGGATTCCCATAAATCCAGGGGTTCATCGGCACGGCAGGGGGTTCCACCGAAACCAGAACAGTCTCTTGGCAGCAGCTGACCCGGACGTCGTAGATGACCTACAACCGCGAAGGAACACAGAACCAACACTTCTTGATGAGCGCTGAGTCAGGTTTGCATCAGACTTCTAACATATTCAAATCAAAAAAATAGTAAGTGTAATGAATAACAATACATACGCAATGTCCGAAAACTAGTGAAATAAAGTAGTATATAGTATGGATACAAAAGAAAAATCCTTATGTGATTTTATTTTTGACAATTAGTTGTTTTGCTATTACAATTCGGAAATGGAAGCAATTCATTGTGGACGCGCAGATTGCAAGACACGAAGTGCAAATATATCTTGATGGTATTTTAGTGTTGGTTGGTCTTTATTCGTATTCGTGGTATTTTAATTAATAAATCCGAATATTTTATATTAATATTGAAATAATATATTAGTAATATATTAATTATTAATAATATATTTAGATTTGGAAATATGTATATTTAAAATAGGTATATAATGGTATATATATATAATATATTTGGATATTTGATATGGAATTAATTAAATATATTAAATAATAATATATTATATTTATAATTATTATTTTATAATAAAAATATTATATATATATATCCCGAATTTTTACGGAAAATTTGCGATTTAGGAATTTCCTAAAGTGATAAATTGTCTGGAAAATTGGTGCTTCGGGATTTTGAATTGAACTACGAAATCGTCTTGTATAGATGTTCGTAATACACTATTTTAGTAACAGAAATTATTAAAAATATCCGTAGCAAAAACATTTGCCGAATAACTAGAAATTCTGTATTTAATGGACGTGGGTAGAACAATACTTTATAAACAAGCTATGAGGGCAGACTTTGCTGCACGGGCGCGCACTGAGATTTGACTGCAGAGAGCGGCCAGTACAGCCCGCTGCAGATTTATTATTAGACTATGGCGACGACTGACGACATACCCGCCCCTAGCCATCGAACCGCTTTTTATATTATGACAATAAACTAACAAACGTAGCTTGGAGCCCCTAACCTTGGACCTTAACTTGGAACTTTCCTAGCTTAGTGTGCACTAGTGGGACTTTCCCAGCTTAGTATACACCGCTGGATCTTAAAAACCAGATGGAATGCTAAAAAATATACCAAATAAAATATTAAATAAATAAATTACCAAATAATATGCTAAAAAATATACCAAATAAAATATTAAATAAAATGCTAAAAAAATTACCAGATAATATGTTAAAAAATATACCAAATAAAATATTAAAAAATATGGCAGAATCTTTGCCAGATAAAATACTAGAAAATTTATTAAATAATATGGTAAAAAATATATCGGATAAAATACTAGATAAATTGCCGGAAAATATGCTAAAATATATATTAAAAAATATACTAAATAGAATGCCAGAAAATATGCTAAATAGGATATTTAAAAATACCAGAAAATATATTAAAATT